GAGGAGGTAGACTCAAATGGTTTGGTCGTGTGCATAGAAGACCATCAACAGCACCAATAAGAAGTGATTTGTTGCAAGTTGAAGGAGCTAGAAGAGCTAGGGGTAGACCAAGAACAACATGGATGTAGTAGTAAGAAATGATTTAAGCGTCAATAATTTAACAACGGATAATAGCTTTATACAGAATCAAATGGAAAAACAGGATTCATGTAGCCAACCCCATACAGTTGGAATAAAGCTTGGTTCAAAAACCAAATACTACATCAATCTGAGCCTTTGCACAATTGCTCTAAAGCCAAATATCAGCTTGAATCAAGTCTCGGGAGCATACAAGACCAGACTAAACCATCACCTCCCTCTCAGCTAAGAACTTGCTCCCCCCAACCCCTGAGGGCTTAGTGTACATTTAGAGGTTCTAACAATTGCTTTACTTCCAAAAATTGTTTCAGGTGTTTTTGTTAACTGCTGAATAGGGGCTGAAAGCAGAATGCAGAAAGGCTTCTAAATTTAAAATGCCCCCACTCCACATTTCAGTCACCAACCTCCTTATTTGCAGAATAATGAAGCGCAGCCACTGAGGTGATTATTTTTCTGCTAAAAATTTTATCGTATGCCATCAATAACCCTAGGTTTAAGCCATTTTTAAATTTGGAACTTCCCAAACTGCACTTCAGCACCTATTTCAGCAGATACCAAAAAGCACCTTTTATAGAGACCATGATCAACTACATGGAATAGAAATTTTATTTCTCCCTGATTAATGGGTACTACCTTTTTTTGGTAATAAATAAAAAGTAAAATTTATTAATAAAAAAAAAGGTACAACTGAGGGCAATGAGAAATCACCAGAAATACAAAACAGTACAGAGATGGGCACTAAAATTAAAAGACAAGACTAAAGCCAAAAAAAGGACAAAATTTTAAACCAACTCTAGAGAATTCCAAAATCCAAACACCAAGATCTCCTTTTGAAACCCCTTCAGACTTTTGCTTCCTCAGCCCTTCCATCAAGACCATACCTTCTTACAAACTCCCAAGAATTTCTCATAGCCCTGATGATCCTGTTGCCCCTTCCCCCTTTCCTTTCACTCAACTTCAAATGAGCAATAAAATCACCCCCTCCCCC